ATTTCCCCAGATGCTACAATGTAATTGCAATCTGAACAACGTAAGCAGGCATATTTGTATATTTTATTAAAAGGAAAAATTGAATGGGGTAGGTTAATTGTTAATCCAAAATGTTATATCTAGATGTTTATTTAAAAAGTGCTAAATCAGAAATGCTAATAGAGCACACACTATAATATATACATATTATGTCACTATCATTATTTTATTGAAATGAAAATTCCACACCTGTAATTTTTAACCAATCAAAACGTGTATTTTTGATAGATCACAATGGCAACGGTTGAATTTTAGTGGAAATTTTTTCCTCGTGGGTACCCAACAGCGAATTATACTGGAAATTTTTTGACGTTTATAATGACAGAATATTTTTTTGACAATCTGGTTTTTATTTGTTTACATGATAATTTTGATACATTTCCATTACAAAGTTTAGATGTTTTCTATATTCGTTGGACACCTCCTTTCTTCTTAATGGCGAAAATGCAGGACTTGAAATAAATTAAATGTCTATGTCTAATGAAATATATATAATATTTAGACACTATTCTATTCACCTTTTTTTCCATTTAGCACTTTGAGTTTTGAATAGTTAAGATGCAAATATTTGTGAACAATTCAAAACAAATTTTCTTTCTTCAAGTAGGAGCCACAATCCTCTAATAATGCGGGTAAATAAGTCATTGCACGATGATTGATCATTACAGCAGACAATTTCACATTTTTTTACGTCGTGCCGCTTGACAGCTTCAAAACTGAAATAACTTTTAGGTTGGGGTTGACTTAGTTGCCATGGTAACTAAATAATCAAGTCGAGGTCAAGTTAAATCAAAAAATAAATTTTAATTATTTAAACACAATTTGGTGTGGAATTTTCTTACCGAATACCACACGAGGTCAAATTAAATCCGGAAATTTTTTCTCCCTCATGAATATTTTTAGAAAATTATCCCTCGTCTTCGACTCGGGATAATTTTCAAAATATTCATGAGCTCGAAAAAATTTCCGGAAATAATTTGACCTCTAGTGGTATTACTAGTGAAAATTTGTGTTTTAAACTTTTTAAAGATAACAAAACTTTTGCAATCCAAATTTCAATGTTGCTCAACTTATTTGACAATAATTTTTATAAATTTTTTAAACTTTGATCTTGCATATCTTTTAAATGGTTTGAGTAATCGCTTAAACACATTTGTCCTTTTTTGTAGAGCATTTAATTTCCTACAAAAATACGTATAAAGATTCGATTAAACGATTGATTAATAATGAAATATGGTCTTTCTTATAAGGGACTAAAAAAAATGGAAAACTGTCATGAGGAGGATCTTCCTATTAATATCACAGACGTTTCTAATTTTAAAATAAAAATGTCAAAAATATGCGTTTTGGTCAAAAAAATCATACAGAAATTGAATCGGTAGTTAATTCTAATTAAAAAAAAATATTCTTGAAATAGTCTTGCCAAATACCACTCGTGATGAAATTTTCCCTGAAAAAATTTTTGATTTTTATTTAATCAAGATTTTTCCTTGGAAATTTCGTTCGTGGCATTAATTTTTAAGACCACGAGCGAAATTTCCAAGAAACAAACATTCGTATAAAAATCAAAAATTTTATCGGTAATATTTTACCACTAGTGGTATTTCATCAAATTTTTTTTACATTTTAATTGAGGAGCAATCAGACAAAACCAGATAAATCCATTTTGGCTTCTTGAATGATTCCTATTTCTTTTTGTCAGATAAATAAAGTTTTATAATCTGTGAGATAAATCAATTGGAAAAGTCAATTTCAAGCTGAAATTATTATATTATATAAATACTAATAATTATATAATTATTTTATAATATGATAACAAGTTTAGCTTGAAATAGATATTTCCAAAGGATTTATCTGACCAAAAGAAATAGGACGCTTTTACAATGCTAAATGCTGTTTAAATTTAGACGACTTATTTGTTTGACGATTATTACTGAATTGAAATGTTTACACTTTTCACGTTAATCACAACTAAAATGTGTATTTATTGTATCTAATAGGTAGAATTTATATTTACAGAGACTGTATGCAATTTATTTCTTCGTTCGAATTAACACTGTTTATTAGAAAACCGGTAAAAACTCAACCCAGGATTTCCTCTCGAAATACACCCGACAACACAACAAATCGAGCCACGGTTTTTTTCTGATATTTTTTTAACATTTTCCGGCTTTATTCTCAAAAACACTCGTTTGTAACATAAGCGTTTGACAGCTGATTATCAAAAGTTGTACTATGCTCCACACCTCAAAGTCCCACCTCGTGACCACGTACGGAACGCAGTCTTTTGAAAATTTGGCATTTAAGGCTTTTCAGGTTAGGTATCTGTCAAAGTATAGTCAATGAAAGAAATAATATTTATAGTGTTACCGCTTATGTTTAAGCGTTAAAAGTTAATAAATCCTTATAGTATTACAATAACAATGGTTGGTTTAAGAATTTAGGAATATAAATACCGCATTTAATGAAATTCCAAAGTGTAAGGTGCGATATAAGTGATATTTTTGTGCATTGGGTCTACATTTCTCCATAAAATAGTTTTAACTAAACAGCATTTATTAAAAAAAATTAGAACAAAAAATATCATTTAATTTTGTATTTTAAGGTTAGAAAAATCTATTTTGACCAAAATAAATAAGGGGATTATTTGAAAGAGTGTGTTAATATGGTCATAAATAAATATAGGTACCTATACTAAATAATTGTTGAATATGGTTCAAATTAAATTGAAGCTTTTATACTTCTAACGAAAAAACTTGTGCATACCTCTCGGCAAACCTACTTTAAGTTAGATTATAAGAAAACAAACAATTTTTAAAGAAACTTGCAATGTGAAAATATTTAATACTCCCATGACATGTGATTTATTAAAATTTTTAAAGTTATAATGATTTTTCGATGTAGCTTTTTAACTATTTGTATTGACAAAACTTTATGTAGGTACACTTTAAGCTGGATAAGAAAAACTACCACATTTTTAAATACCATATTATACAGACTTTTAAATACTTATTTATTTTGGTCAAAATAAATTTTTCTAACCTTAAAATTACAAAATTAGATGATATTTTTGTTATAATATATTAACTTACCTTTAAAACAGATATTCTTATTCCATAATAGAGAAGCTAGATTTTTTAAATAAATGCTGTTTAGTTAAAATTATTTTATGGAGAAAACCAGATATTTGGATCAAATGCACAAAAATATTACTTATTTGGCACCATACACTTTAGAATTTCATTAAATGCAGTATTTATTTTCTTAAATTCTTAAACCATCCATTGTTATTGTAATGTTATAAAGATTTATACATTTTTAACGCCTAAATATAATATTATTTTTTTCGTTGACTATACTTTGACAGTTACATAACCTGAAAAGTAGGTATAGAACGATATCACTTTTTTTTGCCGATACGATATATCGGCCGATACCGATATTTACGTGCCGATATACCGATATATCGTATCGGCAAACATAATGCCATCTATTTATACACGACCGAAGCAAAAATCGGGAAAGTCCCGTTTTAATTCCGTTGCGAGGAAACGTTTGTGATTGGTAGTGAGTGACATTTCGGATTTCTGGGAAGCCCCTTATACAGTGTGTATTAAAACGAATAGATACACTTAAATAAAACAAGTGCCAAACCCCGCCCACTGTGGTAGGGATTGAGAATTTATAGGTTTTATTTTTATCGAATTCGTTTGTTTTGTTTTAATGCATTTCTGCAAATAAAAACAAAGTATTGTTTAAAATCCATTAAGTATTAAGTATATACTGTATTTAGTACCTGCTACATTAGGTATATTTGTTGTAAGTGGTGTTAGGAATTGTTTTACTTTTTTAGTAAAAATGTTACCTTTAGAATAAAAATTTTTATTTTGTATTTCATTTATGCACTGAAGAGTGAAAAGCGCAATTTTTTTTGCCGATATATCGGCAATTATCTTGCCGATACGGTACGATACCGATAATCGGAAACAATTGCCGATATGCCGATATACCGATATCAATATCGGTATCGTTCTATCCCTACTGAAAAGCCTTAAATGCCAAATTTTCAAAAGACTGCGTTCCGTACGTGGTCTAGTGTTGCAAACAAGGAAAAGTTCGGTCGAAAAGTTGGAAAAGTTGTTGGAAAAGTTGGAAAAGTTCGGCACCCCCTATGAAAAGTTGGAAAAGTTGGAAAAGTTATTAGGTGGGAGCCAATGAACAATGAGTTGACTTCTAACCAGTGTTTCCACTACCATAATTTTTTTTTGGTAGATAATTTGGTCAAAATTCGATATACCTAAATCGCTAGATTTGCTAAGAGCATTGTTTTTTGGAATAACATTTTGTCAAACTTTATCAAAAATGGTGTCTGCTAACAGCATATTCTATTACCTATATCAAGATTCTTTTATTATAACGTACCTATTTTAAATTTATACACAGTATGAAAAAAATATTATTTTTTTTTTAATTATGGATATTTGCAAGTGAAAATATAAAAGTGGAAAAGAAGAAAGTTTTCTTTTCTTTTTCTTTTTAAATTTTTACTTGTAAATTTCCATAATTTTTAACAACAATAAATTTAATAATTTTTTTTGTAATTATTTTTTATTTCGTATGTGTTTTTTTATGGTGTGTATAAATTTTGTTTGATATTTTTTTTGTTATTTTGTTACGTATGTATAAATACATAAGAAATAAATTATTTTAATACATTGACAAGCATTATTTATGTTTTATACGTTTACAGTACAAAAAACTCAACTTTTCCATCTTTGCCAACTTTTCCGAACTTTTCCGAAAAATAAAACCCAACTTTTCAAAAATTTCAACTTTTCATGAAAAGTTGCAACCCTAACGTGGTCACGTGGTGGGACTTTGAGGTGTGGAGCATAGTACTTACGAAAAAATGTAAAATGTTGCAGGTATCCAGATGCCGCACCAGCGCATCGCCACCAAAGACGACTACATCTACATCCCCCTGAAAGGCGCCGCCCCCGAAAACAACAACGGCCCGCTCCTCAAGCAGCAGCAGCAGCAGCACGCCGGCGGCGGCGGCGTCTCTTTCGCCGGCAAGCCGCCGCTGCCCAAGCAGCCGCCCCCTACCAGGCAGGCGCCGCCGCGCGTCGTGCACGCAAGCGTCAAGCGGGACGTCGCGACGCCACCCGACGTCTCTGCGGAGAAGCCGCGCAGAAGAAGAAGAACGACGATCGATTGCGTGCCGCCGCCGCCGCCGCGTATGGAGGAGCAACCCATGGGGTTGATCGAGACCGACCTCGACACGGAAGTCACCGTCATCACTTCCGGCTGCGGCAATGCGAAGACCCGCAGCCTGCTCGACCTGGGCCTAGGGGCGTCCAAGGGGGCCGCCGCCGAGGGCAAGAGGGGCCTGCGCGCCCCCGAAGAGGCGGCGAGGCCCCACAAGTCCATGGAGTTTCTGCTCGACAAGCAGAATCTCAAGGTCGTCGAGGTGAGTCACCCCTTTTCTTTTATTGCCTTCATTAAGTAAAGATCCCTATTCGTCCAACAGTTGCTTTTGTTACGGCAAAAACATCATTTTTATAAAAATTATTTATCTGCAAACGCTGCTCACGGTGCTGTTCTGAGAGGTGATTTTGGACTTTCTGTGAAACCTAATTTTTTTTATATTCTTGTTAATTAGGTCATAACTAAAATTTTAAGAGCAAAATAAAAATGTTTTAATTGGATGTTTATTAAAAATATATATGCACACTTTCAATTCTCCAATTAGTTAATTTCCTAAAAAAAGGTCTATACATTTTTTATATCTTTTACTGTTTTGTTGTAATACACGTTTAAAGTTTTAATTTAAGGTTAAATGTATAGTATACATTTATTAAACAATAATTCTAAGGGTGCCACATTTTATTTAGGGCCGATTTATTCATTTTTGATTTATTTGACGAATAATTTCTTTGGATACTAGATATTGCCAAGACATGAAAGTTATCGGCCCGATAAACTTTACTAAAGATGAATAAACCGGTCCTTAGTTAAATTTCATGAATTTCTTCGTAACTTTTACTACAATTTTTCATTTTTGTTTATAAAAAACACTTTAAAAAACTAAACAAAAATTATAGAATACGTATACTGAAAATGACAGTTCAAACGTCAAATAAATTTTTAATAGATCTAAGTTTCATGGCAACCTTTAAGGATATATTAATTAAGGGAACATAAATGTATACGTCAAAGGTTAGATTAAAAGTTTAAACGTTTATTGCAACAAAACAGTAAAATATATAAAAAAATTGTAAAAACCTTTTTTTTAGTTATGCATATATTAAATATTTAAATTAAATCGCTAGTTTTAATTGGATAATTGAAAGAGTGCATAATATTTTTAATAAACAGCTAATTAAAACAATTCAAACCGTCAATTTTTTTTTATTTTGCTCTTAAAATTTTAACTATGACCTAATTAACAAGAATATAAAAAAAAATTAGGTTTCACAGAAAGTCCAAAAATCACCTCTCAGAACAGCACCGTGTGCTTTCAGTAATAGCATCTGCATTAATTATAAAGTAAATTTACGTTATGTTTATAAAAATAGCACTCTTCCAGATGCAGAAACGCATTGATAAATATTGTTATTATTATTTGTCAAAAAAACACTTCTATACCGTTTACAAAAACGTTTTTTAGTATTAATGAAACCCTTTTTTATAAATTTTACAAATCCCTTTTCTTCGTTTATAGAATAGACCTTAAATATTTCTTTCAGAAAACGTCGAAATTTTAATTTTCTTAGTGATCTTTTTGATATTTTTATCATGCTAGATTAGGGTGTTTCAAAAAACCTTTTTTTTGTTTTTTTCTCGGAACCACGCTCAAAAGTTTCGTATAGATATAAAAATGAGCCTGTGACAAAAACGAGCTCTAATTTCGAAATTAAGATGTTCCGCATCGCACTTTTCGATTTTCCATAAGAATTACATAGGAAAAATTATTTTTGTTTCTTTTTATTTTTGTAACTAAAGAACAATAGATCGTACTTTTAAAGTTCTTGACATATTTTTGTAGAGAATTGAACGCTCTACAAAAAAGGTTTCATATGATTTTTTGATAAATTTGATCCTTCTAAAGAAATTTAAGGTCAAAGTTTAAATTATACAAAATTTTTGGGTTGTTTTTAACTTATTTGGCGAGTCTGCCCGACTCATTTAAAAAATTTTGAAATATTTTTGTAGAGAATTGAACGCTGTTTTTCCGAACTTCCAGAGCTCAAAAACAATATTTCGATTCGTTTTTAGCACTTTGAACTAAAAAAATCCAGAAAAAATCCGAGAAAACGACTAAATAATAATAATTTCACTTTAACCTTGAATAACTTTTAACCAAGTTTACTTAGCGAAAAATGACTCTAAACCTTTTTTGCAGAGCGTTCAATTCTCTACAAAAATGTGTCAAGAACTTTATAGTATGACTTATTGTTCGTTTAGTTACAAAAATAAAAAGAAACAAATAGTATATTACACTACAAGGGCAGAAAGTGTGAGATTCCTGCACTGCGCGCCATGATGCCCGAGGCGAAGGCCGGAGGGCATCATGGCGCGCAGTTCAGGACTCTCACACTTTCTGCCCGTGTAGTGGTATACTATTTTTCTTACTACCCTGCAGAAAATACGGGAAAAAATTAAATGTATATAAAAAAATTTGTGTCAAAATTAAAATCTGACGTTTAATTTAATTCTTGACGTTTACATTCAAAATCAATCCAAACTGTAGCGTTGTCATGGTAATTCAGCGGTGCCAATACAGTAAAAATAAAAGGTTGTATTTTAATTAACAAATTACTACTTTATAACAAATAAAAGTACCATTAAACACTTAAAACAACATAAAAAGTAAAAAAGTAAAAACATAAATTGTTTATTTGTTGTTATAATTGCAAAATTATGGTTTAAAACTGTCATATTTTTGTGTTTCTCATGTTGGCAGTACGAAATTTAAATGTTAAGCACGCGACTAAAAAATTTTTACTCCCGCTATTAGAGTGTGCGCGTATAGCTTGACCAATGCATAAAACGTAAAACTTTCTGCCGTGAAATCGGGGACGAAACAACGTATTTTGAGTCGAGGTAGTAAGAAAAATAATTTTTTCCTATGTTATTCTTATGGAAAATCGAAAGTGCGATGCGGAGCATCTTAATTTTGAAATTAAGAGCTCATTTTTTCACAGGCTCATTGTTATATCTATACGAAACTTTTGAGCGTGGTTTCCGGAGGAAAAAAAACAAAAAAAGTTTTTTTTTGAAACACAATATACTAGATTTTACCACACTTCACTCGCACAAGTGAAATCAATAAGATTATAACACAGACTGTGGATTATAAAGTTATGTTCACCAAGGAGAGCGCTGGCCCTTTCCCCCTCTTTTTAAGGGAAATAACAAAAATGTTGTTACCGTTGCAAAACAATAGTAAATATTAAAAATGTCTTTTTCTTACTACCTCGACTCAAAATACGTTGTTTCGTCCCCGATTCCACGGCAGAAAGTTCACGTTTCTTGCATTGGTCAAGCTATACGCGCACACTCTAATAGCGGGAGTAAAAATGTTTTAGTCGTGTGCTTAACATTCAAATTTCGTACTGCCAACATGAGAAACACAAAAATATGACAGTTTTAAACCATAATTTGCAATTATAACAACAAATAAACAATTTATGTTTTTACTTTTTTACTTTTTATGTTGTTTTAAGTGTTTAATGTACGTTTATTTGTTAATAAAGTAGTAATTTGTTAATTAAAATACAACGTTTTATTTTTACTGTATTGGCACCGCTGAATTCACGGCCTACTGTTATTTATTTATCAAGCTCTTCAAATGGAGATAGGTACATAAATACACATTTAATTTTTTCCCGTATTTTCGGCCGGGTTGTATTTTCGGCCGAGGTAGTAAGAAAAATAGTATACACTACACGGGCAGAAAGTGTGAGAGTCCTGAACTGCGCGCCATGATGCCCTCGGCTTCGCCTCGGGCATCATGGCGCGCAGTGCAGGAATCTCACACTTTCTGCCCTTGTAGTGTAATATACTATTTATAGCAATAAAATATTTTTGTTATTGTTCTTAACGTAAACTATTAACAAAGATTTTCTAACTGAAATAAAATTAATTTGAATTACACTGATAGTAATTTAAAAAAGACAAAATGCCATAGTAAAATGAACAAATTTTACTATAACAACTGCGCAGTACTTTATTTAAGCGCAATTCACACTCAACTATAAACATTTTAAGATCGACAAAGATTTAACATAAACATAAAGTATTTCTTATTGCTATGGCAATATGATAACAACTATTACTTTGTTGGATGAACATATTTTTAAAAAAGCTCAACATTGCTGCTTCCTTATAGTAAATAAAAATTTTATTAACAGTAAAAAAAGTTTATTCTGTAAATAAAAATAATCTCATTACTTTGACAAATCGTAGGTTTTTGTCCCAATAAGACACTGAAAATTTAATAAAAAAGGTACCTTAGGTGGTACATTTTTTTATAGCCATTACAATTTTAAATTTAAGTTAAATAATATTATTTTATTAATCGCTTACAAAATTAGTTTATTTTCCTTCATTTTTGCCAAATATAATAATATTAATTTTATTAAGTCTACTAAATAAGATAATGTTTCTTAAGCTCATTTATTTATTACGTAGCAAGGGCTTATCAATTAAAAAGTACATCGAAATAGGTCATGCACAGTAGAACTCGATAAATGATATAAAAATATACTTTTAATAAAATTTTTGACATTTCGATTATTTGATTTGATTTTTTGATTATTTTGCTGAAAAGTGGTCATTTTTGATGACTTTGAAGCGCTGTATCTTCGTTACTGTTCGTTTGACTTGTACAACATTTTTAGGGTATACCAACAAAAATACGGTCTTTCACAGCATATTTTTATTTACTTAAAAAAAAATTTCGAGCGTTTGTTATTAGTAAATAAAAGGGCTTTAAGGATATTTTCTCGAAAAACCCTTGAACACGTAAACTGAGATATAAGTTAAGTAATGTATTTTTTCCAAAATTTTATAAAGATTTTTTTTACTTGTTATGCGTTAATTTTGACGGGCAGTGTATTTTTTAGGTCGTATTCATATGCGATTTATAACTTTGTATGATAAAATCATAATCATAGTATGATACCTATTGACAATACGCTATTGTAATATTATTATTATTAATATCTAAATTCCCAATAACTTATAACCTTTTAAGATAAATCAGTATACTGATATAAATATATTAACGTTTATATCCGTATGACCGTAAATATTATTGTTGTTGTATAATGTTTATATTTTTTTGTTTGTAAGTATACAAAGCATTTCTTAAAAATACACAAATTTAATAATTTTTTTAATAATGTATTTTTGGAATATCCTTTTGC